ACATGGATCATATAAAGAGTCCACGTACGTAAACCACGGGGATTTGCACGGAAATCCTTGTTGATTTTCGATCGATCCACGGGGATTTTCGCGCAAATCCTCGTTGATTTTCGATCGATCCACGGGGATTTTCGCGCAAATCCTCGTTGATTTTCGATCGATCCACGGGGGTTTTCGCGCAAATCCTCGTTGATTTTCGAGCGCGTGCTCGCGAACAAGTTCCACATCCACGAGGATTGAAAAAAAATCAGCGTGGATCAGTCGAATATCCGTGGTGATTGCATTTTTTTCAGCCCATGATCGATCCCCGAGGAATCCCTGTATGATCCACGTGGAATCCCTGTACGATCCACGTGGAATCCCTGTATGGTCCACGAGGATTACTAATCCTCGTGGATTTCCACGTGGATATCCATGCAATTTTTTTCAACTGGGAATTGTTGTGGCAAATGTCAAGACATAATTTTCATAAGGTGTGGGCCTCATCAGAGCAACTGGACGGAGTATTTTTAATAAAGTACAATCTAGCAATAGTATTCTGCAAAGTCGTGCTTCAAGATCTCCCAATACCAGAGGGGGTAATACTGATAATCTCAAATTTTTAAGTAATTTGAAAGCAGATGATGAAGCTGTAATTTTATGTTATAAATATTCAAGTAAAGAAAAAGAGTTGACCAGTACAAAAGATAGATAACTCAAAAACCTACAACTGGCCTAAAATTTCTCTGTGAGCACACGATAAAATTTTTGTTAACGAAGACTTCATAAAGTTACAACGACTAAGTTTTAATTTACAAATTTTGTTCATTTTTAACTTGTAACTTTTAGGGTGGATTGATCTAATAAGCAAATATTGCACAATTTTAATATTATAAATTATTAAACGACACAATTGTAGACACATATAAGTTTCTGAATACAACATATACACTCCTGAAAATTTGACTAAGCTTCTATGTACTTATCTACCTGGGTATGATTGTTGAGATTCAGTTTTGTAATAAAATCTATTTTTGTGTATTAGATTCATAATTTCTTATTTTCCTTTATTTTTCATTATAGAATAATTACATGTAACAGTAATAAAATGGACCAAGCAGTTGTAAAAATGAATCAAAATATTACATTACAAAGTTTTGACCAGTAAGGCACGTTGGGCGTTGTATTCTTTTATAAATTTTAACATTTTTACTAAATATATATGCTTGTCAGAGGTATTACAATTTTTAATATAATTATTAAGCGCAATGCAACACTTTTTTTTCTTTTCTTCACTCTCGCTAGTAATATTCATTTCATTTTCTTTATCATTCAATTTTTGATTGTAAACTGCTCGTTTGCCACATCCTAACTTTGTAAACTTGCTTCCTTGTTTACTGGCAGACAAAGATTTTTTTGAAGTTTTGTTTGGTTGCATTGGAACTGCACACTCCTGCGTTGAGTATGACATCAAAAAATAAAGTCTGGCATACACTTTCTTCTCAGAGCTTGTAATCATTTTCTTGTCGCTCAATTTGGCATCAATCTCAAAAAAATCCGCTTTCATTTTCGACCACTTATCCCAAATTTCTGAAACTGCAAAATTTGTACTTAAGTTTAGCCAAAATTATTAAAAAGGACCCACAACATTAGGTGTTTACTTACCAGAAAGATTAGCTTCTTTATTTCTCATAAATGTTTTTTTTAACGTTCAAAAGAAATTTTTCTTTTTTCTTTTCATTATAGTACAATGCGTTGCTTGTGTCATACATAAATGTATGACTCGCAAAATGATTAATTATAATTGAGTCTAAACTTGACATTTTTAGAACGAATGTCGGCAGTATAAACTTTAGGTTAATAATTGATCAATATAATGGATTGAATTTTGAGGTTTAGATTATAGTTATATTTCAACGTTTGCTGCGAGGTAGGCAACGTCCGTGCGTGCGTGCGTTACGCGGACTTTACGTGGTCAAAAAGTCTATGTAGACCGAGCCATGCGTGTATGTAGAGGCAGCCTAGCGCCCGAGCGTAAGCGAGTGTGATGCGTACGCAGCGGTACTAGAATGTGCGGCTTATGCCATAGAAAAGGGTGACATAAATGTGAACTTATGCCACACAGTGCTATAATAGTATATTGTGATACGTGTGACTTAAGCAGGCGATTATTGCACGGCACGGTTAGCACCCGAGCGAAGCGAGGGTGCTAGTTCCGTGGTAAGAATAGGCTACTTGAGTCATAAAAATCTTACGTTTTTTATAGCACTGAGCTAAATTCACGTTTAGGCCCCCTTTGGCAAGATATAAGGTGCTCATAATAGCGTCGCGGTGTGAGGTTAGCGCACGAGCGTAGCGAGTAAGAGAGGCGCACGGTAGTGTAATAATCAGCAGCTTAAATCACGGCAAAGCATACCTTAAACGTGAACTTTAGCCACGCAGTGCTAAAAAGCTTTTTAAACACTAAGATACAAAAAAAATGTCAAGAGTAGCTTTTTTTCAACGCTAATTGTCAGTTCTCGAATCTAGTAGATTAAATCAAGAATTTATTAAAAAATCTGCAGTACTAAAGTCAAGGTTAATGTTATAAAAAATTTTTGAGACTTCTAGGATGGTGATTGGTCAAAGGTTTCATTTAGATTAATACAGTGCAGGGTTTTAGAATCTTAAGTCATTATGGATGAATCCTAGACCAATTTAAAAGGTAGTAAAGACATGTTTTTTCGTGTATAAGTGCTTAAGGGCTAACAGGGGGCTTAATTATTTTTCATTTTTCAATTACAGTACTAGGCTGTAAAAATGAAAAAAAAATGTTTTTTTAAGAACACACATGATGACCCTTTTCAAAACCCTATTTGAAAGTATTTTCTCCAGTTAAATACTTAGAAACAATTGAGTACAATAATAATGAGGGTATTGGCCCTCAACTCAAGCTTTACGCATATCTAAGCTACCTGTCGTAGAAATCCAAGAGCAAGCATTAATCTATGGTAGCCCATGTGGTTTCATTTTGTTAGATAGCCAATTGGCCATGGTCGTAACCAAAAGCTGGCCATAAGATGAACTGTAGCTACTTGTACATATAGCAAAGTGAAATTAATGTATGGAAAATGATAAAAAATGAATACTAAATTCTAGAAAAGTGTACACACAAGTCCCAATTTTTCTAAAGTTTTTTTGGGACAAATCTGGCATCGAAAACAACAAGTTGTTCATATTTGCAGAAAATTTTTTGTGGCCATTCGACTTCACAGAGAATCGGCCCTATATGTATCCATAAATAAAAATTAATCTTGGACTCTTCTTTGTGACTTCCTAGACTCACGGTGAATTTGACCATTCGAAATTTAGATTTTTCCATCTTCCTTCATTCAATTTGGGAGTGTACCCAAAAAAAGCAAGTCGGAATTAATGTAACAGCTGATTGCATGTAAGCGTCGCAAATAAGAGACAGAGAGCTGAGATCGGACCTGTGAACAGATGAAAAAAAAATCGTTTTGAATACAACTATGCATAGTTATAATGATTGCACAACAATGTTTTAATCATGTAATATGCAAGAAGTATTTAGAGATCTTAAAGAAAATCCCAACTCACTCCACGAGATCTGCATCAACGGCACCGACAGATACAACTTTTTACGTGGCTGATGTATTCCTGTGACCCTCCTCACCGCATAAGCATCTAGAACACATAACAAAAATGTTAATTTTAACAAGGTAAACTAATAATTTATTCTTCGCAACACTATCACTGAATATTTTGTTGTTAAATTTAAAGTACGACGCCGAAACTTTTCTGCTACATGTCAAGATTTACAGTTATTATAGTTTGTTTATGATTACGTTGTTTTTTTTCATCTAGCATCATATCTGTGAATTTTGATGTGTAGCAGAAAAGTCATGGCATCGTACTTTAAATTTAACAACAAATTATTCAGTGATAGTGTTGTGAAGAACAAACTATTCGTGCATCTCGTTAAAATTAACATATTTGTTATGTGTTCTAGATGCTGATGCGGTGAAGAGGGTGATAGAAATATATCAGCCACGTAAAAAGTTGTATCTGTCGGTGCCGTTGATGCAGATTTCGTGGAGAGAGTTGAAATTTTCTAAATACTTCTTGCATATTACACGATTAAAACATTGTTGCGCAAACTTTATATCCATGCATAGTTGTTTTGAAAACGATTTTTTTTTTCATCTGTTCACAGATCCGATCTCAGCTCTCTATCTCTTATTCTTGACCCTTAACAGATTGAGAGAAGAAAGATGAAAAAATCTAAATTTGGAATGGTCAAAATTCACTGACAGTCCAGGAAGTCACAACGAAGAGTCCAAGATTGATTTTTATTTATTGATCCATATGGATTTAAGAACTAATACCCCACACTGCCATAAAAATGAAATCATTTCCAAACCATAATTCATTCATAGCTTGATAAGAATATTGTCAAAAGAAGAAAAAGCTAGTCAACGCATGCATCAAGAAATATATACCCTTTGAACTATAATTATTATTAATCAATCTAGCTGAAACTCGATGGTTTTATATTTCGGAAAGAATCAGCTAATGTATCGCCTGATTTGTCACCTGATGAATAACCTAATTTTTTCGATTGTGTCAAGAAATTTTCGATTGTCAGTCATTTTTTTTAATCGTTTTATTTAAAAGCAAATATAACAACCATTTGTTCATACTTTCAGACGATTACACAATATTATATTATACTTGTTTTTCAAAGCTTAAACTTTCCAAAATTCCCATACATTTTTAATATTCTTGTTTGGTTTGTTTTGAATTATTGTCTTAAACGTTCTATTATCATTTGAGACTCAACAGCTTATGTTCGTTTTGATTCATTTAAGTCAACTTCAATAAAAAACTTTACTTTACTCTAAACTCTTTTTTAGATGAAATATTTAAATTAGAATAAAATATAAGAATAAAATACTAACAGAAAATGAAAAATAGTGAAAGTAGTAAATTATCATCATTATTCAACTTTTCATTATCCTTACCCACGTGAAGTAACATCTTCGTATTTGTATACTTTTGAGCACTTGACAAAAAATAAGCACAATGTAATTTTTCTCTTAACCCGACTTTAACATCTCTTACTTTTCTTTTAATAACATTAACAATTGGTTTTAAAATATTTATTCAAATAAAAGATTCAAAAAAATCATTATTATAAATCAACAATTTCTGTTTGAATTAATTAAAAACGCCTAAACTAGACTTGATTACATTTTTATCATCATTATATGAAGTTACAAACGAAAGTACCAAAAAATGAACACTTTGTTATCATTAAAATATCGAGTTCATTTGTATACTTTCAGTTTTTGAAAATATTTTTGCTAACACTTGAACCAATTACAGTATCAACTTTTTCACAAAAGAATGTGTAATCTATTGTTATAAGAAATAAATATTAAGCAGCCGATTTTATAGCAGAATATTTAGCGTTCATTACTAACGTTTCTTTGATAATTAGAACGGGCGAATCATATTGCGAAATGAGTTTTGTTGAAAGAAGATGCACAAGCTGTTCGCACTTGCGCAATATGAGAAGAAATATTTACACTAAATATTAAAAGTTTGAACCTTTTTTTAAAAGATCTAAAAGGCTACCATAGATTCACATTTAACTAACAACTACTCATTACATCTGACTTATTTACATGTACTTCATTAACGTACAAAAAAATATTCAGAGCTGAATGACAATATTTATGAAAAAGCGCCCTTTTATAGTGAAGTGGTTGCGGGTTGGATTGGTGAAATGAGATTAATTGACTTATTTCTAAACTATTTTTACGTTGATTCTAAAACTTATATTCTTTAAAAATGAATCGAATTCGTTTTTTATACTATTATAAAATATTATATGTAAATAAGATAAGTAAACTATCTGAAAACTAATTTTTGGGATTCATTTTCAAGATGTGATTCTCAAATCCATGTAAGGAAATTATGCAATACTTTGTTGTATTGTATGTTAGTACACCTCGTAATAGTAAATATGAACGCAAATCTCAATGTCCGTCAATAAGCCAATTTGAACTACACCTGTTAATGATAAAATATTTTGAATGTACATTCAGTCCTAATTGAGTGATCAATGATGGAAGGTGAATTGTACACATTGAATGATGTTTCTTTGTGTTATAAGCATATTTTTGTAAATATTATAAATTAATTTGTTCAGAACTTAAAATAAATAAAATCTTTTGTGTTACACAGAAACTAATCGATTAATAATCATTCTGAAATAATCACACATTCTTTTCATTTCTGGGCTTTTATGAGCTCTCATGAGCTTTGCCAATGTAACTAAATTTTCCAAAGTTATGTGGTTTAATTATAACATTAAACCATCCGGTTGGATACTTTTTGAAATTGATTTTTTTTGCGTTATCGACATTTTTTATTTTTCTAGAATAGTCTTCTAAATTTTGGTATAAAAATTCGAAATTTGAGTATACGATAATTACAAAAAAAAATGTTGAACGCGTTTTCCTTGACTTAACATTTTCATATCTGTTTGACATTCCAGATTAAAAAATCTATAGCCATACCTCATAAAAATTGTACTGCTTCTTGCTTACATATGTATCTATTGTTCAAAATTTTTATATTTTAAGAACTTCATATTCAAATATTTTTTGAAAACTAACTAAGTTTTTTCAATTGTTTTTTTTTCATTTAATTGAACGACATTTGGTCATTTTGCATTGAAACATTTTTTTTGGGGTTCTAACAATAGACAGAATCTTTACGAACAAAACGCTATTTTATTTTTGTTTTCATTTAGTTACATATGGCCGATTCTTAGTCAATTTAACTGGTAAAATTTTTTTCCTATATCTAATATGCCGAATACATTGTTTGGCATGTCAGGAATGTACAATAGTTATTCATGCAACAAGAGACCAAAATGCGTTTTTGCGCACAGTGAATGCACGAGGATTGACGGCCGTCAATACGAGTGCAAACAAACAAACAAGACATGAGTGCCGGTGACGCCGCACAGTGGGGCGAAGTAGTACAAAAACGCACTAAATTCTTGCGTGTTACGTAGTTGATCGGAAAAAAAATGAAAATATTCTGTTGTTGAGAAAGGTATCAAAAAACGAAAACCACTGCATTTTTTTATTTACCCATCAACAAATTAAGTTTGTGGCAAATCAAAGTTAATGAAAAATACAACAAATAGAGCTTTAATTGCTCAATTTGCCAATAATGGAATGAAGACACCTCTTATCACTGAACGTAATATTCACGGTGGGCCTGAAGCCGCGATAGGTTTCATCAAAATGGCCACCAAAACTGATTGCACCACTGTTTAGTCGGTCGATCACAGATGAAAACCCCGTTCGAACCAAAATCCTAGCTGATCCTGTTCAAAAGTTATACGTATTTTTCTATTTTTATCCAAAAACCTCTATTTATACTCCGGACGCTGGCTCGGTTTTCGTAAAAATTTCCGACTCCAGGGCATTTTTACACGTTTCTAGACGTATTTTGATGCGCTGAATCGATTTTTCGAGGTTGATTTTCTCGAATCAGGTGCGTTTAAAAGTTATAAACAAATTAATTGTTTAAACAGCCATATCTTGTAAAATATTGAAGATAGATTAAAACAATTTTTTTTATTTTATTTGTCTTTGAAAGACGAAGAATATCTATTAAATAAATTGAAAATCCGTCCACTAGAAAAAAAGTTATGCAATATTTAGTGCAAAATTACTAGAAATACGTCCTTTTTTATCTTTCAACCCCTGTAACTTGGCTCGTATTAGTGCGATCGAGCTCATCGACGTCTCATTTTAAAGATAATAACCTACACAACAATTCGGTATAGCTTTTATCCCAGTATGATTGTTTATAAAGCAATTATTAGCTGTTTTGAGACGTAATTTAATGACTGTCACGTACTTTTCATTTGTTTATACGCGTTTTTCGATGGAATAAATTATTTTAATAACGTAGCAACTTAATACAAATGAAAGTACGTCAAAAAACGAAAACTTTAAGACGTTCTAAAAGGTAATCGATCAAGTAGACGCCAATTGTTTTAATCTATCTTCAATATTTTACAAGATATGGCCGTTTAAGGGGGGAAAGGCACCTAAAATCTAAAAAAAAAAATTTTTTTTCATTGACTTTTTTGATAGGATTTTTCCTTGGCTTTCCAGTGCCGTGATCGGAATTTTAAAATGTTAACTGTACAGGTTATTTAGTACCGATACTTTTACGATTACTTAGAAAAAATGAATGAAACGACTCAAAGATATATCGTGGTCAATCTTTCATGAATCTCGAGACTTTCATAAGTCCGTAGCGCCATCTATTGATACTCGTTTTATTCTTTGGTTAGAGTACATCCAGCAGAAATTTGTTTGTTTACATGGCTATAGGTGTACAGTAACGCCACCACTCGCAGCACGTGGGTTTCGGCATATCTTCTGTCTCTCTCTGTTTCGTGCACGAGCCCTGATCAAATGTCAACAACAGTCTGCTGACTGCTTCTTGATTTTCCAATGGCTAAAAATTACATTTTTTTTAAAGTGAAAAAAGTATATGTAGAGTGCAATTATATCTTTGCAACTCAACATAGTGTTTCATAATAAAGCTATGAAGAAGTTTCAATAGCTTGTTATAAAAATGTGACATTTTTAGCAGTTCTAATTCAAGAAATACAGAAGTACATATGTAAATTGACATATATACATCAGTGTATATGTATGTCACTGTACTTTATGTATGTGTATATGACTGTATCATATATAATATTGTATGTTGCATGTGATGAACAAGATTAGTGATAATTGATCAACTTGTAGTGATTTATTTCCAAATATCTAGTGATAAATGTTTTATGAATGTTAGTGAATAGGTAGAAGACTGGATTCAAGTTCTAATGTGAGATTGTGTATATTTGTGTGAAAAGTTGATTTGGACATAATCAACTTAGTTACCAGTTTCCACATAAAACCCATATTAGCGTATACTAATATTTTAGTACAACTTATAAAATGTAGTAATGAAATTGGCGCATTTGGCTTTGTGTGGCTGTCTGGGATAATTAAACATTGTCCTTGTGGGTACAATATGTTGAAAATTCAAATTGAATTACTGTTCTTTATCGTCCAAAAAGTTTTAAGCAGCCTCAGTGACATGAGAGTATCATTATGACATATATTGATGTATTTTGGTTTTTTTCAACTCTTGGGCAGTTACGTTTAATCTCAAAATTGCTTGCATGCGGTAATTTTTAATGAGAACCGTTTGAGCAATTGAGCTGAAACTTTCAGGGGTTGTTCTACATGTGAATGGCTACAAACGCAAGCACTTTCAAAGGTATTGGACAAAATTTGCACTTTTTTCAGGCTACATCCCTAGCATAATTGTATTTTATTATATAGTATTAATGAATAAATGTGCATATGTGGCTGGCAAATTGTGTATAACTAATTTAAAAATCTGAAAGTGCTTGCGTTTATAACCACACATCTACTGATCAAAATGAGACCCCAAGGACCATGATTGAACCATCGGTTCTAGCTGGATCCTACGGCACAGGGGTACCTGTCAGGACTGTGGGCTTGCTTCATCGAGGAGGGTTCTATGGTGACTGGGACCTCAATTTTCATATTCCAGAGAGTAAAACTTTGAAAAAAGAGTGAAGAAAACAGAGTTTTCTCTGTATATTCCAAAAAAAATTTTTTTCTTCATAATTAATAAATTTTTCATAAATGTAGGTTTAAGGTACCTTTCCCCCCTTAAACAATTAATTTGTTTATAACTTTTAAACGCACCTGATTCGAGAAAATCAACCTCGAAAAATCGATTCAGCGCATCAAAATACGTCTAGAAACGTGTAAAAATGCCGTGGAGTCGGAAATTTTTACGAAAACCGAGCCAGCGTCCGGAGTATAAATAGAGGTTTTTGGATAAAAATAGAAAAATACGTATAACTTTTGAACAGGATCAGCTAGGATTTTGGTTCGAACGGGGTTTTCATCTGTGATTGACCGACTACACAGTGGTGCAATCAGTTTTGGTGGCCATTTTGATGAAACCTATCGCGGCTTCAGGCCCACAGTGTATTATAGTCCCAATATGTTCTAAAAATGCTTAGAAACGTTTTTCAAAAAAATCATTTAAATTAATTAATTATGTT